CGAGAAACAATATTATTGTCATTTTATGACCATTTTATGCCACTGACTATATAGTGATGTTTCAGTATCAGCGCTGGGCTGTCAGGCATTGTTACACCAGCAGGTGGCTGCAATGGATTGACTTTACGAGTGAGTCATCATTAAAAAACATGAATTCAATGGATACACTTAAAAACGCTGATTCATTCATGAATGAAACAAGGTGTTGACATTAATTTACTTTGAGTGCCAGTTTACAAGGCTCAATCAACAATCAACGCATCACATGGGTTACAGTGAAGCTGATATTTCACTTCATAGAGAACAATGCCATTGATTCAGTGTACTGAACAGCGCTGACGACAGTCGTGGGAAATCCCCTTAAATACTGAAAGGATACAACGACACAGATATCGCTTTCATCTTCTCACAACTGATGGCAAACTGATTTTTTCATGATTATATGAGTTGACCTGAAGAAAGACAGACCCAGGTATTCACACACACTTAGTTCTGCTGACGCTGTCACCTGTCTCTCTCTCTCTCTCTCTCTCTCTCTCTCAATTCAATTTAATTCAATGTGTGCTTTATTGGCATGACAATTGTTACAATGTATTGCCAAAGCATAGTGTTTACATTGAATCTAGAACAGATATATATAAAAAAAAAACATGCATGTATATATCAGTTCATGGTTATAATAATAAAAACATTTTTGTAATGATTCTACGGACCCCCTGCAATTACGTGACAGACAACTAGGGGTATGCGTACCCCCGGTTGAGAAACACTGGTGTAGAGTGTGATGGAGTGCTTTGACATCAAAAATGACAGATGGAAGTGTAACTTTACACAGTTATTATATTATTTGTATTTTATTATTTGCATCTAACATGTTGTAACATGTTTTATTCAGTGCTCTCCACAACCTAATCGGAACAGAGCTGTGACCCATTTTTGGGTCACGACCCACAAGTTGAGAACCCCTGTTGTATATCATTGGTGTCCCACCCCCATCAGCCCTTTACAGGGGCTCCATCTGTTGTCCTGACAACAAAGTTTGTCCACTGAAGAATCTGTCCCGTTGAAACAGTAAATCAGCTCGTGTGAGCGGGCGAAAATTAAAATAGATTTGTAAAACAAATAGTGGAAGTAAAGTAACAATAATACTGAAAAGACTGCATCTTTCTTTTGGAAAAGAACCTACATTCAGTCTGAATAACTTCTGCTTTTTCAAATCAGACGCACAGATATTCTCTCACAGTTTCATAGAAGTTGGAGGAGGTGCAGCAGCAGTTGTTAAAGGGGATTCGGATTGGCTGACG